GCAGCAATCATCCTTAATTGCAGAAATGTGGCAAAACATCTCTGGAGAGAACCTCAGATTATTAAATTCGAAAGTGCTTTCCATATTTGGATCAACATAGGCTACATTTGTGAACGCACATTTTCTACAATGTCGCTTGTCTTACAGACTGCAACTTACAATCGCAACTTCATTTTGCTGTTACTCCTTTCGAGTCGGATTTCACAAAATTAGTCAGCTCCCGACAGCATCAGGTGTTTTATTAATGGGGAGTATAATTATTTATTTATTTATTTCAATGAATGTAATCGATTAGATATCATAATATTTAGGCTATAATATTATAAATCAGGTTGGTTTGTATTGCTGACGTAATATGTAAATGATATGCGTGCGGCCCGCGAGACTTGCACTTGGACCATAATGCGGCCCAGTGGAAAAAAAGGTTGAGAACCACTGCTCTAGACACAGTAGCTTGCCTGCTCATGGACCTCCTCATTGATTTATACTCAAATAAATAAATGCAATGCCCAGCATCAAGCACTGAAAGAAACAGCCATGGGGATGTGTGAGTGGGGCTACCTGGTATGCATATGATAAATTCCTTGCCATTGTTTACTCCAGCTTGGGTGAGCCAATTAAATGCAGCTCAGTGGTGAACGTTCTGTCATGGGAAGTGCTGTGTATTTGAACCAACTCATGAATAATGGATCAGCGCATGATGCAACCAATGCAGTGCAGCACTGGAGAGCTGACTAGAGACTCTGGGAATGGAGGCAATAGCTTCCCCTACCCCCCTCCTCAATCCCCCCTAAGCCAAAATCCATGCTGGGTAAAGACTGAGTGAGGTAACAGCTGTCTCATTGATAAAAGTGTTCAATAGGAGAACATCTTTCTTACCAGTTCAGAGAATTCATTGCTTCCCAAGTCTAACCGCTCCAGTTGCGACAGCCTATGAATTGACCTGCAACATGACAAAACTCACTTCAAATATATGTAGACGATATGGATTATTAAATGCACTCTAAAGAACTAGTTCACCCAAAAAAGAAAATTCTGCAACTCTGTACTCAAATATTTGTCACAATATTTACAACCCGGCCCTCATTCAGTATGCTACATGTGGGCAAACACCGCTCTCTCAGTTTGGGTTTGAAGGAAAGATAGGCGGTATTATTGCTGGCAGATAAAAATAGTCTTGAACCAGAACATCTGAACAAGTCAGCAAACATAAACCACCGTGTGCAATATGTGTCCTTCTCTAGAGGGGTCCAGAGGTTTTCCCCACCGTGACAAATGACATTGTAGACTCTGCTACTCTGGGTCTGTTACACAAACTTGTGTCTAAATCACATTACTGAAGGACGAATAAAAAAACTAAATGAAAATCCTCTTCACGGAAGATAAGAGAAGAGTTTTATATATTAATGCAATTATTTGAAGTGGTGTTAGATTCAAATATCAATATTGGATTATTTGCTCAGCTGCTATAGTAGGTGTACAAAACAAAAGCTCCATCTCTTTACATTTTAAGACAGTGTAAATGAAGATATTCAAACAGAATTTAATCAAAATGCCTTGTGGCAGAAACAAATACTTGCTGTGAGGTTTGTCCTACACCATTTTTTCATGCTTTTTTATGGCATGTATTTATTTAATGATCCCATGTTGGCAGAAACCAAAGAATTGACTTACTTTGGCATAGTTTTCAGATGATTCTCACGAAGCTCCAGGATCCGTAATTTAGATAATCTGGAAAAAAAAACAAATCAATTTTGGAAAAATTCTTCACCTAATTTTTTAAAAGCAAAAACATAGTCTTTGACCAGGCGCTGTTTGGCTGCACCATGAGTATTTAAATTAATGTCAATCATTTCAGCATGAATGTATCATTCTTGCTATAAATGTTCAGACTTAGGGCTATTTGTCTGGACATTGCGCAATTAACATTGCATTATTACCACCTTCTAAAAAAGCTCAAATGAATGAATCAAGCTCTATAACAACACAGACAGCCCGTGCAAATACACGGTGTTGTCAGGGCAATTGATTTTTAGTGAATTCCCCAGATTCTTTTATCAAAAGTAAATGTAACAACCCTTGACCAATGTCAGCTGCAATAATAAATCCCCTTTTCCCCAATGCAAATGAAATAACCATTCATCATTAAACCCAATATGAGCTGCAAGAACCCATTTATTCATGAAAGCTTTAGGCAAATCACTGCCAGAATCAGCACCATGCTGCTCCTCGGATACAAAATAACATCTAAAAATAAAACTGCTACGATGACAACTACAAGAACGAGACAAATTCAGGCAGGTGTGCTAAAGAGCCATTTCACAATCCCCAGCAAAGCAGGAACAGAGATGAAGCTTTTACCTCCCAAAATTTGCAGGCAGGTATTCAAGGAAGGCGTCATTTAAGAAGAGCTGTGTCAAGTTGAGGAGCTGGGTGAACCCGTCTGGGAGCCTGCAGTAACAGAGAGGTGATCAGACCCTCTCAAAGGCCAGTGCCCTTAGGATTTGATAAGCGTTAAGTACTTCAGGAGCGGCGAGAGCCATCTGTAATCCCTCTACGTTTCCCCTTCTACTGGCTCTGTTAGCATCCCAGTAAATGGAGTCACTTGAGGGCTGATTTAATCATAATATGAGGAAAAGGGCTTTCTGCAGAGACCATGCACTGGATCCTGAATGTTTGATCCTTTAACATTAAACTTCTAAATCAAAGATTTGAAGCTCAGCACTGAAGGCCAAATGAATACACTGAGATAAAAAAGAAATGCATGTATTATCTCTCCTTAAATTAAGTTTGGTTCAGTTTTAAGGCATGATGTCGAAAGCTTTAGGCAAATCACTGCCAGAATCAGCACCATGCTGCTCCTCGGATACAAAATAACATCTAAAAATAAAACTGCTACGATGACAACTACAAGAACGAGACAAATTCAGGCAGGTGTGCTAAAGAGCCATTTCACAATCCCCAGCAAAGCAGGAACAGAGATGAAGCTTTTACCTCCCAAAATTTGCAGGCAGGTATTCAAGGAAGGCGTCATTTAAGAAGAGCTGTGTCAAGTTGAGGAGCTGGGTGAACCCGTCTGGGAGCCTGCAGTAACAGAGAGGTGATCAGACCCTCTCAAAGGCCAGTGCCCTTAGGATTTGATAAGCGTTAAGTACTTCAGGAGCGGCGAGAGCCATCTGTAATCCCTCTACGTTTCCCCTTCTACTGGCTCTGTTAGCATCCCAGTAAATGGAGTCACTTGAGGGCTGATTTAATCATAATATGAGGAAAAGGGCTTTCTGCAGAGACCATGCACTGGATCCTGAATGTTTGATCCTTTAACATTAAACTTCTAAATCAAAGATTTGAAGCTCAGCACTGAAGGCCAAATGAATACACTGAGATAAAAAAGAAATGCATGTATTATCTCTCCTTAAATTAAGTTTGGTTCAGTTTTAAGGCATGATGTCTACTTACAATATGCATTATTAATGTACAAATGTGCTTTAGAATTCAAAACAGTTTAATCATGGATTTAAAAAAATTGTTACATGAAATATGAAAACATCTAGCTTTTGCTTGTATGTTCACTTTGTATTTTTATCCCCAGGACCCCAGATAAGGAAAACTAATAATTGCTTCCATTTGAGAGTGAAGAGAACAAATACAGCAAATCCATGTACTGTATGATATAATAATCAATTTCATATTGTGTAAACTGTAGATAGGAAATCCTCTTCAGGAAAATAAGAGAAGAGTTTTATATTTGAATGCAATTATTTGAAGAGGTGTTTGATTCAAATATCAATATTGTCTTATTTGCTCAGCTGCACACAAAACAAAAGCTCCAAAGATCTCTTTACATTTTAAGGCAGTGTAAATGAAGAATTTCAAACAGAAACAGTGTTTGAAAGAAATGGCAAAATTAGCGAACATGAAAAAACGTAACATGCTTATTTTTATTCTTTTTTATTTTATTGTTTTTATAATTATTTCACATGCAGCTTTTATTATCTCATATTTAAGGGACATGAAATACTCGTATTTTTAAAAATCCACAACACCATTTAAATAAGCTAGTGAAGGAAAATGAGATTAAGATGATTTAAGAAAGAGTGACCATAAAATTTTAACAAAAATCTATCGACATAAGATCCACATAATATGTTAAACAAATATATACGAATAGAGCAATTATCAAACATTAATGTTCTCAGTCTTTCTGATTTAAGAAATGTGAGCAGCTCTACGTACTTGGCTATAGGATTTACACTGGCCTCCACAACTGATAGACATTTACAGCATTTAATGTTGTCTGGAAACTCTTGAATACCTGAAACAAAGTCAGTTTTACCATGTTGATACATGTGTATAAAGGTGCAATCATATACAATCATTCCAATATGCTCGGCACAAAAAATGGCTTGGCAAAATAGATTTAAATAAGCAAATATAGAATAAATGCAGTTAAGGATATACCATTTTTACTAATATCTAACTCCTTTAGATTCACAAGGCTGGCGATGGTGGTTGGCAGGTTGGAGAGGTCATTGTCAGGCATGCTCAGCTTCTTGAGCGCTTGACAGTTGAAGAGTTGCTAAGAAAGACAGAGAAATAAGGAGATTTGGTTAAAGAACGTGTTCATTTTTTATCCTCTGTTTTATCCTCGCTTGTTGGTTATATAATAAAAAAGACAATATTTAACACTAGGTGAACTACATTTTACACCCATAATTTAGCTCCTAAAGTCATTTAGCTCCTCTTTTATTTCTGTGTTGCTCTGCTTTTTTATAGGTGACTTAGGACAACCAGAGTGGCATTCCCACAGATGGTTTCTTGTGCCATGCTATATTTGTACAGTTTACAAATTCTTAAAACACTTACAAATGAGAAGAAAATGTCCCACAATCTCACATTACTTTTCACTTCCATTTAATTCAGTACTATTTTATTTCATTTTCTCTAATAAATTCACAAAACTCAACCATATCAACTCTGCCACACAATCTGTGTGGTATTTTTGAGCTGACAATCAGTTTGAAACCATCCTGTAGTCTCAATCAATTAATTCACTGAAGTGAATACTAGATTTGTAACCATGTTTAAAAGATTAATCCAAAATAATTCATTGAAAAATAACGTATTTCAGTTCTGTATCCTGTTTTGTCCTAGTACTCTACATACTTTACATGCACAACCTGAGTGGAAAAACACTTTTATTCAGCAGGGATACATTAAATCATTCAAAAGTGACAGTAAAGATATGTATAATGTTACAAAAGATTTCTATTTCAAATAAATGCTGTTCATTTGAACTTTCTATTTATCAAAGAATCCTGACAAAATGTACAGTAGTATGGTTTCTACAAAAATATTAAGCAGCAAAACCGTTTTCAACATTGATAATAATTTCACATATTTCTTGAGCACCAAATCAGCATGTTAGAATGATTTCTGAAGGATCATGTGACATGTGACAAAACCTGCTGAAAACCCGACTACCTAATAGAAATAACTAGCCCAGGGAAAGTATGAACAGTGTTAAACATGAATTAAGATAACAACCATGGGTTTAGAATGGCACTTCAAGAGTTAAAAGTGAGCAAATACTTATACTTATTACTTAAACTTATCTTAGGAGAATATCAGAACAAATGATATAGACCAAATTCAGATAAACAAACAAAAGCATATATATATATATATATATATATATATATATATATATATATACATATATATATATATACAGTATATATACAGCTTTGCACACACAATATGGGAGCTGTCCATGATGATCCTGTTATAGTCTGTTATAGATACATTAGACAAAGCATGATTAACCTTAACCAATATGAAATACCAAATGGTAATAATGATAATATCAATAAACTTCAATTATGGGACACTTTTAGGGCTTTATAAGGAATCAATTACATTAATAATTCAATTTGCACCATTTTTGTGTACTGTTACACTGCTGTGTAAGATGATGTTCAGGAGTTGATGTATCCACTGTTTGGCAGATATTATGCATGTTTAAGCTGACACTTGACAACTTACCTTAGGCAGCTCCTCAATCTGGTTGGCGTCAAGGTAGAGCTCTTCTAGCGTGCGCTCGAAGCTGAAGATCTCCTTAGGGACCTGCTGCAAGCTACAGTGGGAATAATCCAGCACTGAGATGACCTCCTCCTCCCCCCGGAAACATCGACAGGGCACCAGGCGGCCGATGATCTTCCTCTTAGTAGTCATCTCCAGACACTGCACTGTGGGAAGAGAAAAGAATATTCTAGTTTATGACAGAAAAACACATTCTCACAAGCATATAGCTGATTCACTAAATCACACACATATTCACACAAAATAACTTTCTACATAATTAAAGCTGGTATAGTTTAAATGCTAAGCATTGTACAAAAAAATTGCAGAGTACCACTGTGTCTCTATAATTGGTACGAAAAGGAAATTGTCTGGAGCTTTGTGTTTTATTCGAGCTGAGGTTGAGCTTTTTATTATCCATGAACCTTACGATAGGCTATCATTATCTTCATTTATTAGTGTTCTCCTCTGGCCAGACGAAACCAGCATGGTGTGTTTAATTTCAGGCTGCAACACAAGTCAGATTGTTCAGAGGACTTGTCTGGTTAGTCTTTGCTAAGGATCTGACTCCTTTCATGACTCTTTTATCACTCCATGGTCTCTTTCTTTTCCTGTCAACATAAATTGATATAGCTAATTTTGCATTTCAAATTGTAAAACTTGCCTCTGAGGTAATAATTTTTCATTTTAAAGTGATCATCGACCTTTCGATATGTAGTTAGACGTTCAGGAGTCTCCAGTTAAAGCATGAATAGACAAACATTGCTTGAAGAACAAAAAAAAGGTAACAGACAGAAAATTCTGAATAAAAACAGGGGAAAAAAACATGTTATTGGCATTGTAGTTATATTAGATAACTAGTTCATTGAAAAGTAGTAGCAAATAATAATAAATAAAAATAAATAAATACATTTAAATAACACTCATTTAAAATAATAGTCAAATAATTAAAAACAACAACAATAATAATATTTAATATTGTAACATGTATGTGTTGCTGCTAGGCAGACTATTTTTTATGTCGTAATGTACTATATTTCTCAAGGTAATCGACAAGTAAGCTATAAATATCATATAAATTCAAATCAATATTTCAAGTTCATGTTTTCTTTATTAGTTTGGCAATATTAGATGTTATTGGCATTGTAGTTATGTTAGATAACTAGTTAATTGAAAAGTAGTAGCAAATAATAATAAATAAAAATAAATAAATACATTTAAATAACACTCATTTAAAATAATAGTCAAATAATTAAAAAAACAACAATAATATTTAATATTGTAACATGTATGTGTTGCTGCTAGGCAGACTATTTTTTATGTCGTAATGTACTATATTTCTCAAGGTAATCGACAAGTAAGCTATAAATATCATATAAATTCAAATCAATATTTCAAGTTCATGTTTTCTTTATTAGTTTGGCAATATTAGTGTAAGGAGCAGGATAGTCAACAGTCAGCCAGTCATTGTCGCAATATAATCGTTTTCAGGCAAGCTGATACAAAACCAATTTGCTTTATTTTGTAAAAATAAACATTTGAATTTTCACTTACATATTGATTGACTAAATTGCATTTTATTGTCCCCAATATTGCAATCACAGCACACTAGGCAAAACAGATTTTATTTTCATAAAAGCCAAATTGGATAAATCATGATATACTTTTACAGGCTTTTTTCCTTTAATTTAGAGCAAAGAAAAAAAAAACAGGCCACACTCAAACCTGAATCCCAGTGAGCACAAACAACACCTCATCTGCACCACATCTATAACATTTGAGACAGTATCTGCAGACCACAGTCACAAATTCTCATCAATCTGACTCCCGTAAATGAATATCAACATCATATCTTAACTGAAATCATCCTGCTGGACAGAGTGCTGTAATTGCATAAGGCAAACCAAACCAGATCCCTCATAAAATGAACCACATCCTCTTAATTTGAACCATGAGCTGAGCATCATAAGGTGACTGATAACTTAACATCTGCCCTATAAGACAAAGACAATCTGACATAAAGGCTCAATGCTGTACTTCAGAGGTGTTAGTGCGCAGAAACCTGTGTCATAAATCAAAGCACATAAAATGAACCACATCCTCTTAATTTGAACCATGAGCTGAGCATCATAAGGTGACTGATAACTTAACATCTGCCCTATAAGACAAAGACAATCTGACATAAAGGCTCAATGCTGTACTTCAGAGGTGTTAGTGCGCAGTAACCTGTGTCATAAATCAAAGCAGTTTATCTGATTTAGTTTATCATGAAAGCTCATTTAACACCCATGAGAGAAACCCGTCGGGGAACTAATCGCAAATAAGGAAAAAGCGAAGCGAAAAAGGAAGCAGTATAACACAAAATTGCTTATGTCATTCAGCTGTGACGAGATATGTCTCTACTGCATCTGTCCTGACAAGAAGCCAAAGGGAAGGAAGAGACATGACGGGCATTGTAATGTTCTTCAGGGATGGAAACGTGCTGCTAAAACAAAATTTTGGTACCGTGACAACACTAGTAGGGATCGTGAGATAGCTAAACAATGGCTTCGAGATAACAGGTTTTCTTTTAGGAGATGTGCTTGGGGAGAGAGATGATCGGTACTGATAAGATAAAGTCATGTTAACCCACAAGAAAATAAAAATGTCTCAGATAAGATAGAAGATTTTTCTCATCTGATTCACTTGTACGTGAACTCTAACTATTTGTATGGCTCCTACGGGTCCTTCTTAAGTGTCCTCATTTTGGATCCTGGGAACAGATAATGCCAACCCAGCAAATACAAAACGTTTTAACAACTTTTCACAATGTTGTATTTTGGTTGCAAATAGGTAATGTTGTAATACAACGTTTAAAAAAAAAAATTATAATAAATTTAAATAAAAAAATAATGTAACCAAAATAAAACGTTTTAAAAACGCTGTGAAAATACCTATCTGGTATGTTTTCTTTAAGTAGCCAAAAAAAAAAGTAAATATCACGTTTGTCAACTACGAAAACGAAACTAGACCAATCTGCAACTTTTGGGAGACGTTTTATTCAGGTGTTAAAATACCGTAATCTGCACGTTGGAATAAGATGTTTAAAAAACGTCATAAAAATACCAAAATACAACCATGCCAAATCTACTATGGTACGTTCTGTTTGTGTAAAAATATCAGTAAAATAACAGTTTAGAATAACATTTAAGATACAGTGACGAGGCTTCTGTTGAATATTACTTCAGCGAAATGATTGTGTCTTCGAAAAAGTCTGTTAGCATCACAACGGTTAGCTAACTATAGAGGCTAACTATAAAGGCCTGTTCACACCAAGAACGATAACTATAAAGATAACGATAAAGATACAGTTCTAAAAATCGTTCTCGATATTAAAGAATAGCAGAGTCCACACCACAGCTGTAACGATAAAGGCACAGAGAAACAATATCATTGGAATCACTTTCAGAACGATTTTTTCCAGCTGATGAAACATTAACAGCCAATCAGAATCAATCCTGCTATAAGGAGCTCGAAAGTTTAAAGCGGCAGAAGAGCGTGCGTTTGGAATAAACAGACAATATGCAACTGCAACTCTGCATTGAGAACACTTGGTATACAGCAACCTACAGAGGGGTCCAACATAATTCAAAACCCCAGCGAATCTTGTAAAAAAGATGTATCACAGTTTCCACAAAATATTAAGCAGCACAACTGGTTTCAACATTGATAATAATAAGAAATGTTTCTAAAGCACAAAATCAGAATGATTTCTGAAGGATCATGTGACACTGAAGACTGGAGTAATGGCTGCCAAAAATTCAGCTTTGTCCTCAAAGGAAGAAATTGCATTTTAAAGTATATTAAAATAGAAACAGCTATTTAAAAAAAACTTGTTGAGCATAAGAGACTTCTTTCAAAAACAGCCCCAAATTTTTGAAAGGTAGTATACAGTATATATTAGGAGTGTAACGGTTCAAATTACTCACGGTTCGGTTTGTATCACGGTTTTAGAGTCACAGTTTCGGTGCGGTCCGGTATGTGCTATGTTTAAGGAAAAAAGCACTATACTGTCAAATAAAAAAAACATTTTAAATAAGGACAAATAATCTTACTACAAGCAACAGCACAAATAAATACAATAGAGCAAAGATACAAATATAATAAACTGCTTTTCAGGGTTTTTAGGTAGGTCTAACATTAGTTTTAAGGTACAGAAATTGAATAAAGCAATCAAATGTAAAATAACATTGCATATTTGACTGTATAAATCAAAGGTTAATCCTTATTAAAGTTACAAAAGCTATTCAGTCAGGAGCAGTGAGTGATTTCCTTGTCTTTTGTTGTTTAATTAACATTAAAATCTTTAAGACAATGCACGGATCCAGTTCACTGATACTGTGCATTCAACCGACTATCTAGGATACTCACCAAAACAGATATGTTGACATAATTTTTGTGTTTGAATTTGTCCATTCAAGCACAAGACTTAAAAGTTTTTTAAAAAACTAAATATTTGTGCGCTCTCTTGAGACGCAACCGCTTCGTATGAGTGCACACACAAATATACTCACTGCGCTTGTGAGTTCGCATTTGAGTCTTCTGGCTCTTGAATGTTTAAACTTCCAAGGCTTAAGTTAGAATAGTTTAAACAGATAGCAATGTTTACTGTTCAGGTCGCACACGTGCTATCAACACCCGGGTGATGACAGCATAAATGACTGGTGGGTGAAGAACGGTATGGTTTGATTTTTTACCGAGAACCGTTTCACTCCTATTATATACCTGAATTTAAAGCAAAGATATTTCATCCCCTTGGAATTATACGGTTCTATCTGCCATTTTTGTCAAAATTGAGTTATTCACATATTCTTATTCTGTGACAACTTGACAAGGCTGCATTTACACTTGGCATTAATTTACGACCTGTATCCGGATGTTGTCCACATACACATTGAAAAGACAAGTGTAAACGGGCTTCTGATCGGAATATTTTACGATCAGCGTGTCCTGGTCCAGAGGTAGTCGAGGACACATTGTGATCGGATCTTAGTGTAATGTAAACGCAATCCAGCCATCATATCTGCATTCGCAGGTCGACGTCACACAAAACCCCGCCCCCTCTCTCCCGAACTGTCAGAAAACTTATTTAAATATTGCACGGGAAAGAGAGATCCGATCAGTTATC